AAGCACAGGAAATCCGCAGGACCGGACGGGATCAGTCCCAGACTGCTGAGGACCTGTGCAGACCAGCTCTCTGGGGTCCTCAGCTACATGTACAACCTGAGCCTCAGCCTGGAGAAGGTCCCTGTCCTGTGGAAGACCTCCTGTGTGATCCCGGTTCCTAAAACACAGCACGCCAAGGAACCGGCTCACTACAGACCAGTCGCACTGACCTCCCACCTGATGAAGACCATGGAGCGGCTCATCCTCACCCATCTCCGCTCCGTGGTCAGCCCCACCCTGGATCTACTTCCTGCAGCGGACGCTCTCCCACCTGTAGCCTGCCGGGAGCGCTGTGAGGGTCATGTTCTTCGACTTCTCCAGTGCTTTCAACACCATCAGACCGGCACTGCTGCGGGGGAAGATGGAGGACGCGGGAGTGGACAGTAGCCTCACTGCATGGACCATCAACTACCTCTCGGACCGACCACAGTACGTGCGGCTGCGCAGCTGTGAGTCTGAGGTGGTAGTCTGCAGCACTGGGGCCCCTCAGGGCACTGTCCTCTCACCGTTTCTCTTCACCATCTACACTTCAGACTTCACACACGACACACACAGCTGTCACCTGCAGAAGTTCTCCGACGACTCCGCCATCGTGGGTTGTGTGTCTGAGGGGAACGAACTGGAATATCGGTCGGTTATCAAGGACTTTGTCGACTGGTGTGAGCGCAACCACTTGTGCTTGAACACCAGTAAGACCAAGGAGATGATCATCGACTTCAGGAGAAAACCACTTTCCCACACGCGGCTGAACATCCAGGGGGAAGACATTGAGCTGGTGGACAGCTTCAAGTACCTGGGTGTTCACAATAACAATAAACTGGACTGGTCCCATAATACAAACGCCCTGCACAAGAAGGGCCAAAGTCGCCTCTTTCTTCTGAGGAGGCTGAGGTCCTTCGGCGTGAGCAGGCCTCTGCTTAGGACCTTTTATGACTCTGTGGTAGCATCTGCCATTTACTACGCTTCCGTGTGCTGGGCCCCGGGCAGCACAGAGCGGGACAGAAACAGACTGAACAAGCTGGTCAGGAGGACCAGCTCCACTCTGGGCTGCTCCCTGGACTCTGTGGAGGAGGTGAGGGACAGGAGGGTCTAGTCAAAGTCACCTCCATCATGGACAACACCTCCCACTGCACAGGACTGTAGAGGAGCTGAGGAGCTCCTTCAGTGGAAGACTGAGACACCCTCAGTGTAGGAAGGAGCGCTACCGCAGGGCCTTTATCCCCACTGCTGTCAGACTGTACAATAAGTCACTTTAAGTCACCTGTATAAGACTGAAAAAAAAACAACCTGCACAACTACTATTGACACTATATCTGACTGCCACTTTAAATTGCCTCTTTTATTGTACATATATATCCTGCATGTAACATGTTTGCACATTTCCTCCTTTTGCACAATCTGAGTGTTTCTATCCATGCCAAACGTGTAAATTTCTCCTTGTGAGATAAATAAAGCATATCTTATCTTATCTTATCTCTGAAAAATTTACTAAAAATCAACAAAGACACTTTTCAGGGTTTTGATGGTTGTAGTAGCTCCAATTGAACAGTAGCTAACACTTCAAACAAGGAAGATCTCTGGCTCTCACAGACCTGTAACTTCTTCTTTAAGAAGCTCTCTTTACCTGTAGTAATGGCACCTGTTATCTCGTACAGAACTCGTTATCTGTATAAAAGACACCTGTCCACAGCCTCAAACAGTCAGACTCCAAACTCCACTATGGCCAAGAACAAAGAGCTGTCGAAGGACACCAGGAAAAGAATTGTAGACCTGCTCCGAACTGGGAGGAGTGAATCTACAATAGGCAAGCAGCTTGGTGTGAAAAAATCAACTGTGGAAGCAATTATCAGAAAATGGAAGACATACAAGACCACTGATAATCTCCCTCGATCTGGGGCTCCACGCAAGATCTCATCCCGTGGGGTCAAAATGATCATGAGAACGGTGATCAAAAATCCCAGAACCACACGGGGGGCCTGGTGAATGACCTGCAGAGAGCTGGGACCAAAGTAACAAAGGTTACTACCATCAGTAACACACTACGACGACAGGGAATCAAATCCTGCAGTGCCAGACGTGTCCCCCTGCTGAAGCCAGTGCATGTCCAGGCCCGTCTGAAGTTTGCCAGAGAGCACATGGATGACACAGCAGAGGATTGGGAGAATGTCATGTGGTCAGATGAAACCAAAGTACAACTGTTTGGTATAAACTCAACTCGTCGTGTTTGGAGGAAGAACAATACTGAGTTGCATCCCAAGAACACCATACCTACTGTGAAGCATGGGGGTGGAAACGTCATGCTTTGGGGCTGTTTTTCTGCTAAGGGGACACGAAGACTGATCTGTGTTAAGGAAAGAATGAATGGGGCCATGTATTGTGAGATTTTGAGCCAAAACCTCCTTCCATCAGTGAGAGCTTTGAAGATGAAACGTGGCTGGGTCTTCCAGCATGACAATGATCCTAAACACACCGCCCGGGCAACGAAGGAGTGGCTCCGTAAGAAGCATTTGAAAGTACTGGAGTGGCCTAACCAGTCTCCAGACCTCAACCCCATTGAAAATCTGTGGAGGGAGTTGGGCCAAAATACCAGCTACTGTGTGTGCAAACCTGATAAAGACCTATAGTAATCGTTTGACCTCTGTTATAGCCAACAAAGGTTATATTACTGTACAAGGTATTGAGTTGAATTTTTGTTATTGACCAAATACCTACTTTCCACCATAATTTACAAATAAATTCTTTAAAAATGTCAATTCCTGGATTTTATTTTTTCACATTATGTCTCTCGCAGTTTAAATGTACCTATGATGAAAATGACAGACCTCTTTCATTATTTTAAGTGGGAGAACTTGCACAATCGGTGGCTGACTGAATACTTTTTTGCCCCACTGTATATATATATTTCCAAATTCTTGCCTGTAGTAGCTAGCTATTGCTCAAATGGAGCTACTACACCCATCAAAACTGGGAAAAATATCTTTGTTGATTTTTAGTGAATTTTTCCAATTTCATTTTTGTTACTGTGAAGGGGAAAACCATATTTTTCCCAAATTCTTGCCTGTAGTAGCTAGCTATTGCTCAAATGGAGCTACTACACCCATCAAAACTGGGAAAAATATCTTTGTTGATTTTTAGTAAATTTTTCCAATTTCATTTTTGTTACTGTGAAGGGGAAAACCATATTTTTCCCAAATTCTTGCCTGTAGTAGCTAGCTATCATTGAATGGGAGCTACTACACCCATTAAAACTGGGAAAAACTTCTTTGTTGATTTTTAGTGAATTTTTCCAATTTCATTTTTGTTACTGTGAAGGGGAAAACCATATTTTTCCCAAATTCTTGCCTGTAGTAGCTAGCTATTGCTAAAATGGAGCTACTACACCCATCAAAACTGGGAAAAACTTCTTTATTGATTTTTAGTAAATTTTTCCAATTTCATTTTTGTTGCTGTGAAGGGGAAAACAATATTTTTCCCAAAAGTTTGGCTGTAGTAGCTAGCTATCATTGAATGGGAGCTACTACACCCATCAAAACTGGGAAAAATATCTTTGTTGATTTTTAGTGAATTTTTCCAATTTCATTTTTGTTACTGTGAAGGGGAAAACCATATTTTTCCCAAATTCTTGCCTGTAGTAGCTAGCTATTGCTCAAATGGAGCTACTACACCCATGAAAACTGGGAAAAATATCTTTGTTGATTTTTAGTAAATTTTTCCAATTTCATTTTCGTTACTGTGAAGGGGAAAACCATATTTTTCCCAAATTCTTGCCTGTAGTAGCTAGCTATTGCTAAAATGGAGCTACTACACCCATCAAAACTGGGAGAAATATCTTTGTTGATTTTTAGTGAATTTTTCCAATTTCATTTTTGTTGCTGTGAAGGGGAAAACAATATTTTTCCCAAAAGTTTGGCTGTAGTAGCTAGCTATCATTGAATGGGAGCTACTACACCCATCAAAACTGGGAAAAATATCTTTGTTGATTTTTAGTGAATTTTTCCAATTTCATTTTTGTTACTGTGAAGGAGAAAACCATATTTTTCCCAAATTCTTGCCTGTAGTAGCTAGCTATTGCTAAAATGGAGCTACTACACCCATCAAAACTGGGAAAAACTTCTTTATTGATTTTTAGTAAATTTTTCCAATTTCATTTTTGTTACTGTGAAGGGGAAAACCATATTTTTCCCAAATTCTTGCCTGTAGTAGCTAGCTATTGCTAAAATGGAGCTACTACACCCATCAAAACTGGGAGAAATATCTTTGTTGATTTTTAGTGAATTTTTCCAATTTCATTTTTGTTGCTGTGAAGGGGAAAACAATATTTTTCCCAAAAGTTTGGCTGTAGTAGCTAGCTATCATTGAATGGGAGCTACTACACCCATCAAAACTGGGAAAAATATCTTTGTTGATTTTTAGTGAATTTTTCCAATTTCATTTTTGTTACTGTGAAGGGGAAAACCATATTTTTCCCAAATTCTTGCCTGTAGTAGCTAGCTATCATTGAATGGGAGCTACTACACCCATCAAAACTGGGAAAAACTTCTTTATTGATTTTTAGTAAATTTTTCCAATTTCATTTTTGTTACTGTGAAGGGGAAAACCATATTTTTCCCAAATTCTTGCCTGTAGTAGCTAGCTATTGCTAAAATGGAGCTACTACACCCATCAAAACTGGGAGAAATATCTTTGTTGATTTTTAGTCTTTATTAGTCGTTTTGACCTCTTGCAATTTGCAGACGGTCCCTTGCGAATATCAGGCGAATATCAAACGTTCGGCCAACTTCACCTCGGTTTAAAGTTAGTTAGACAATCTGTAACCTTCGTGTTGATTATGATATGTCTTTGGGGCTCCTCATCACTGACAGACAGCGTGCTGCAGGATCATGTAAAACACCCACTTTGACTCCCACAAATGACTTAAAGAGAGAAAATTATCTAAATAAAACACATGAGACGTGACTTACTGGTGGCTACAGTCCAAGGAACTCTGGACACGAACAGCTCCAGCGCTTTCTTAGAGGAGGCCGCCATCTTTGCTGCACTGCTCTGTATCCTCTGTGTGCAAGAGGAAAGAGCGAGTACAGCGCCGCCTACAGGCCACCAACAACACTGACATTATGAAATCAACTTCTAGTCTTTTTAAATTCATTGTTTGTGTTATATATTTTTTTCATCATGCATGGACTTACGCCTGGTGCTTTGGAAATCGCTCCTTTTTGACCATTCTGTTGGTATGTAAACAGGACAATCATAAGAATGGGATTGACTACAATTCAAATTTCAATTAATTTTATTATTTTAATGTATTCTTGTAATAACAATTGTATTGAATTGAATTGAATCCCAACAGTAGTTATCTCGGAGGACTTTTCACAAACGTGGTATTTTCCAACACAGATCGGAGAATCGAACTGTTAAAAAGAAATACAACAGAAAACACATTGGTATTGGTCCAGATGTAGCCTGGCCTTTGCCATCAGTAAACTCCGGTCAAATCTTTTTTCCCGGGACAAGTACGAGGGTATGGTAAAACCAGGCTAGTCCAGATGACAAATGTGTTGAAAAATGCGTTGGTTGTGTCCATAGAGTGTGTCACAGTTGTAGTGACCTACAGCATTACTCCCCAACGTTTTCGTACTCCTTGTTCATTGAAAACAATCACATGACCAGCTGACACTGATACAGAAATCAAACGGGCTCCTTCATTTACAAAGCAGCCATTCTCATCAAAGTGTTTTGTATAGAACCTCGAACAAGCACATTATTTTCTTTTCACATTAATATGACCATTTAGGTAATGTTAGATCAATTACAAAGGTTGCCTCTGGGCATGGATAATACACTGCAGATTTACACACTTAGTTCTATTTAACAACACTTATGGACAATTATGAATACTTTTGGACATTGGTCATCTGTTTTCCTCAATCATTGCATGTCTTGTGTTTGGACTGATCTGAGTTAACTACTGATATGATTTATAAGAATGCATTGAATTGGATTATTGTAAACAGGCATCCTAAACCAATATGAACTCTGTGGAGTAGTCAGTAATTAGGTTTCGGTACTGCAGTTATTTTCACAGAACTATTTGCTTTATCATTGCAAAAACAAAACAATGGAGCCGTGAAGCCGAAGCGCGGCAGCACTGAGCCAGAGCACGTGCGGCCCATAACATACCGAAGAAGAATGAGCAAGATGGCGGCGGTCGTGGAAAGTGGAGAAGATGCATTTAAGCAACTTTTCAAGTTTTACAAGCGCAGAAAACCTCCGCCAGACTTCAGCGACGTGATCGACTTCTCTGAGCACCGTTGTACTGGAAAGGTACAAGCGGTCAGAGCCATTTATGAAGTCAAAGAGCTGTCAGTGTGCGTCCGGTCTACGGCGTGCAGAAAACACATGGACACGTTGGCGTACTGTCCTGAATGAATAAACATTTTTACTGTTGAACACGTGCCACGTTTTATCGAACAATACACACACAAAAGCACTGCATTTTAAATAGTGTAATTTGGCACAGTCTAAAAAGCCCCGTTTCCACCAGCCCTACTCTACACGGCTCTTCTCTACCCCTACTGGGAGCGTTTCCACTGGCCCTGTGTAACCGGTGTCAGGTACTTTTTATTACCTGCTTGGCCCTGGTTCTATCCTGGCCGAGCTGGTACTAAGAAGTTCTAACAGTCAGTGATTGGCTGGGGTCCAGCTGGGAGCCATGGATACTAGCTTGTTTCAGGTAGGTTGCTAGGATACAGTACCAGATACTAAAGCGTGATGGAAACGCCACCAGCTAGAGTAGACCCAAGTAGAGCAGGGTCAAGTAGGGCTGGTGGAAATCGGGCCAAAGAAACAGATGTGAAATTGTTCTACATGTGGTGTGTTTACAGGTGGTCCCGCTCAAACTGAACCCCTCTGCAGTCTGTGATGCAGCAGCCTACAGAGTGGGTCTCCATCCAGCCCGGGACTGGAGAGCCTATGGCCTGCAAGGATACCCAGGCAAGTCTACAAGTTATTAAACTGTAATAAATCAGGACGGGACTGAAATGCAACATCTCTCTGTTACTGCACACTGTATACATATGGAAATATTGGTATTACTGTCTTTTATTAACTTGTATTTTTGTCTTTTGGTGTCTGTCTGTGTTTCATGTTCTTAACCTTGAGTATAAAGAAATGATGATAGAGGTGCATGATGCATGACAGATTTCTGAATTTGTTTGATGGGGACAATGGACACTGTCTGAATAAAAGCTAATTTTCATCCGCAGTCCCTTGACAGGCTCAGACTCAAGTATAAAATGCTTTGATAAAAATATGACAGAAATTATTAGTGCAACAATATTATATAGACTGTGTTAAGAAGAGATGAAGAGTCAGGTTTAGTGGATTTCAGCCATTGCTTGAGTTGAGTTTTTAAGCTGAGAAGTTCTCGTGTGTTGAACAGGTTTTGTCTTTATCTCAAACCCTTTTCGGAAAGGCTCTCAGCCCTTCTGGATCCGACAGTGCCTCAAGACTTATCCACAGAAGCCAAACGTGTGCAACCTGGACATGCACATGTCTCTGTGTGACACTCAGGACATCTGGCAGCGCAGCGTGCACAGTCTCAGGTCAGTTTCTATTTTGTCATTTGTATAAAGAATTCAGGGAATACATTAGACAAGAACTTTTATAGACAGCTCCACAAAGTTCATATTGGTTTAGGTTGTTTGTTTACAATGAGCTTTCTTGTGATTGTAATGTCCTTCATTGTGCAATGTTCTCATGTTTTTATGTGGCTGTCTTTACTAACCTTTTTATGTTTCGTTGTGGCTTTGAATCTTTAATAGTTACATGGACACATGTTGATTCATGTGCCCTGTTCCATTAAAATTGATTTAAAAATATACTAAAAGTGTCTTCATCTGCAGCTCACCGTCCCTTCCCAGACGCCAAGAGAAGAGTCTGTTGGAGCGACTGCGCTGGGTCACTTTAGGCTATCACTACAACTGGGACACCAAGGTACAAGCTGCTAAAACAGCTGAACTCAAGTCTTATACTTTTAATCCAGCGTGGGCCATGTTTCAGACGAGCTACCACAGAAATTAAATAGTCACAATGGTCAAGTTTGATACAAGAAAACATATTTATTATACCAAATTGCACCTCTGAAATGTAGAGTATGTACAAAACTCCAATAGAATAATCTTGTATCATTTTGTGTGTCTTTGGTCATAGCTGTACTCTGCAGAGCACCACACCCCGTTCCCTTCTGACCTGGAGACCCTGTCGCAGCAGATTGCTCTGGGCTGTGGCTTCAGCGACTTCGAGCCTCAGGCAGGAATCCTCAACTACTACAGAAGCGACTCCTCTCTGGGCATCCACGTGGACGAGTCTGAGCTGGACCACAGCCGCCCTCTCCTGTCGTTCTGGTCGGTAGATTAAGTATTATCACCTATAAATGCATTCTCACTAATGCCCATTTCAAAAGCTACCAAAAAAACAAATGGTAAAATTATCACACATTATTGGGATATGGATAATGCACTTTCCTTTATAGCCATGATGAGTTTTCTCTTTACCATGCAGCACTATTTTAAGTTGTTATATACTGTACATGTTGTTGGGCACCTTTTCATTTTGGTTTTCTCTCTTGGATAGTTTTGGGCAGTCGGCTGTGTTTCTCCTCGGGGGTACGCAGCGCCAGGACCCCCCCACAGCGATGTACATGCACAGCGGGGACGTGATGGTGATGTCGGGACAGAGCCGCCTTTTGTACCACGCCGTACCCCGGATCCTCCCCGCCCCGCCGGCACTCCTGAGCCCTGAGCTCCAGAACCTCCCCGCCTCCACCCCCCCTGAGCAGCAGCAGCAGCAGCAGCAGGCCCCTCCCTCAGAGCTGGAGCCCGTGTCGGAGCAGGACTGGGCCGTCTGCCTGAGGTACATCCAGAGCTCCAGGATAAACGTCACCGTCAGACAGGTGCTGGGGGCCGGACAGAGCTTCCCACAGAGATGACCACGGCACCATCCTGCAATTGGACAAAAAGGAAAGACAATGAAAAAAGACTGTGAAGTGGAGGATCTACTCTCATGCAGTTGATCATTCACATGTGCAATATTTATTTATTATTAAAGAAATTATGGGACTGTTTTTATGAGCTCTTTTTTCAACTTTATAAAGAACGTACTGTGTGATGTCATAGTAGGACATAAACATCATACAGGACTGAGACAGGAGCTTTTTTAAGTTTGTGCCGGAAGTTCCATTTATTAGCTTGGGTGCATGGGAAAAAAATGTGTATTATGATTTTTTACAGACATAACACATTATTTAAATATACATACTGAACAAACAATAGAACAAATAGAACATAACTTTGACGAAACATTACATTAAGACATGGTTTTTCATTGATTGATCGTTTCATCATAGTGATTTTGTAACATTTTGTAATCAGCAAAATGTACCTGTTTGTCCTCGTTGACGAATATAAAGGTAATATATAGGACATGAACACATAAATAAGCAAAGATAATGATAATAGAACATAATCAGAAAACAAAATTTACAGTTACTGAATGTGTGAGCAATTTTGAAGTTCTGAAGCGAGTCTGAGTTCAAAATGGTTTGCTCAACAAAGTCGATTCATTCTAATATGTGTCTATGTGTCTTAAAGATATTCAGATGCCATGGATTAACGCTGCATAGGTTGGACATGACGTGGCTTTGCACCAGTCTGCTGAAGATCCCTCCTTTTGCCCAGAGCTTTGGTCTCACCACACAGACAGTTAAAGTCTTTGTTTTTCAGAGAAGCCTTCATCAATACCAGGCGGCTGTAAACGACACAGCTCGTCTGCCAACTTTCCATCTCCCACCAATCTGAATCATCCAATTTGTTGGAGACTAGATGAGAGTTTGCTAGCTTGCCAATCCTTGTAAAAAATTTAGTTTTATACTGCTGAGCCCCCACTCCCCTTACAGCTACCCAATAAAAGACATTACCACCTCCAAAGCTCGAAACAGATGCGGCCATAAAGGCGTTGGTAAATAATCCAGAGCTGCACCTGTCTGTGTGCCTCATGTGACCTCGGAGGCTGCAACCTGATCATCATAGTCTTATTATTGTTATTATTATTATTGTTTGGATGTATTCTTTTTGTATTGTTTTTTAAATGTTTAAATTATCATGTTCCACCACTGTTCTCTGGTCTGGCTGTCAGACGTCAAGGCTCTTGAAGATTCAGTTTCAGATTAAGTTTATTTGCCATTTGCAGTGAAAAAAACACATTGGAATACATCAGCAAAAAGTCCCCAGTGTGCACAGACAAATACAGACGTAACACAACATTAAAAGTACAGAAATAAAACAGATAAAACAGTAAACAATTGTCACTGTGAAAACGATCGACTAAAGCAGTTTCAGTACAAGTGCAAGAACATTAAAGTGCTCTGTTAAAACTGATAACAGCCTGTGGGAAGAAGCTGTTAGAATATCGAGATGTCCTGCATCTCAGAGAACAATATCTTCTGCTAGAGGGAAGAAGCTGGAACAAGGCTTTTCCAGGGTGGCCAGAAGAGTCATTGATAATTCTTAGAGCTCTGAAGGCCTCACACCAGAGCCTCGGTCAGTGGGGACTGTCTGGTTCCTAAGTTCAGAACCTCGTTGGGACAGTCCAGCTTTTCCTTCAATGGAGCCAAACTGTGGAACGCTCTTCCCACTGACCTAAAACTCCACACAGACTTAAACATCTTCGTCAGACGTCTGAAACTGTGGCTGAAATCGCATCTGGTCTGTCCAATGCAACTGTTGTGTCCATATCAAATAAATAAATACATTCTGTTGTTCTGGTTTAATATTTAACATTTTTTAAATGTCTATTCATTTGAACCCTTTATTTATCCAGGAACGTTCTGTTGAGATTAAGATCCTCTTTTTCAAGTATACAAAGCATTTTTTCCCAGTTCTGTGCAGGCAAAAGGAGCAGTCCCTTTCTCTACAGGTATATATCATATCTAATCCTCACTCCAGACCTCACATCTTGCAACATGATACACGACATAAAACTGTATATATAGAAATGATACAAAACATACTTTGATAAACACGTGAAGAAATGGTGTGAGAAAAGCGCGTCGCCTGTAGCACACAGTAGCCTGAAAAATGTCATCTGGACATTCCTTGGATTTCTAACCTATAACCAGGCCTTTCTGTTTTAAGTTTGTATATTTCTCCCGAGTCTGGGTAGGTTTCCTCCAAGGTCCGGTTTCGCGACCAGGTAAAAAGTGGTCCACTCCTGAGTCCTGACCAAGCTGAGCACCAACATCTGGAGAGAGGTCCTGACAGGTCTGTAACTTATGAAGGAGAAAGTCTCTTCTCTCTGCATAATCTTACCTTTTATGCAGACGACACATTTCCCTACCTTTGGGGACAATATTATTAACCCTAACATGTATTGTAAACCAGGTTGGGACTGTATGGATTACATTTTAAGTGTGGGGTGATTTTGCTCTGAATCTGCCTTTTTAACTCATAACTTTGTATTGAATAGAAGCATAATTTCATCACTGAATATTTGGACACACTGAGATAACAACTTTACTCTAATATCAATAGTATTTCTTCAATGTTCTTGTATAGAGTGAGTTACCAAACACAGGGAGGTTTCAGAATTATGCAGCTAAAATATTCACATTTTATCTTTTTACAGTCTTCATGAAAATATGAGACAGGCTTTTAATTTGACAATGTTCAAATCCAGGTTTAAAACAATTATGTTTATCTGTGCTATAGGGATTTTATCTTCACTATTTTTGATGCACTGTGATAACTTATGATCTGCATGTCTCGTGTGATTGTTTCTGTCTAGTCGAGCGCTTTGAGTTGCCTTGTGTGTGCACTGCGCCATACAAATAAACTCGCCTCGTCTAATACAGTATAGTATAGCTGCATATAGTACAAGTATATTAGTTAATTTCAATGGTGGACATGCGGTCATCACATAATTACGTTTCAATTATGTATATTTTTTGCACAGGTGTACGTTTTACTTATATACTTGTTCATAGTCTGTTTCTATATAAATTAAATAAAGGTATCTTTTTTCTCTCTCTTTTTTAAAAGTATAGAGTTGTGTCACACATTTTTGTTGTGTGATCCTCATTCCAACTGTTATAACATAAAATTGTCGCTTCATGTATTATGGCTTATATCCTGCGTTTTTATGTTACTTGTTTAGTTATTTTTTTTATTGTGCAGCCCAAACTGAATTGCATCTGGTATAGGATAAAGAAAGTGGTCTGAATCTGAATCTGAACCTGAAAAGGATCGCTTCATCTTCGATCAGTCCACAAGAGGGCGCTCTCTAATCCTTACGCTTCAACGCGTGTCAAACTATTGTAATGTGTGTTTTTGCCTAAATCGATATATCAAAGATCGCGAAGAATCATCCACTTCTGACATAAGATCCATGTCATGTATCGCAGGTCACAGATCATCCCATATTGACACAAGCCCCCGTGCGCCTCTGAGCCTCACCGCGGGCCCCTGTGCGCTGGGGGGCCCCTTCACATGGCTCTGCAGGCGGCTGGAGCGATTGTGAAAGTCAAATGGAGCAGAGAGGATCTAATGTCAGACAGAAATGGGCCCGGGTGATTGTGGGACGGCCCAGTGACGCGCCGTGCATGGCTGAATAAAAACTCGCTACCAACACAAAGTAGCGATGCAAAAGGTGACAGCGCATCACATCAGCATTTTTGACGCAAAGACCAAAAGGAGCGCGCAACATGTGGCCGCATCTTTAACCACATCATCAGCAACAACAGCAGCAGCAGCAGCAGCATCTCCTGAGCCCTGTCCGGTAAGACTGCTCCCCTCTGGACTTTTACAGCTTTCACACATCAGCCATAAAACAGAGAATATATACAGGCTGTTCCACACAAGGCCACCAGGTTTTCTTTGCAATTGTTAAACTAGGTTGAAAGAGTAAAAACTGCGTTCCTCTGGTTGTACTTTGTCCCATCAAGTTTGAGGCCGTTTCCCCCTTTTCTCATTAGATTGAAGAATTATTCTAAAACGAAACAAGAGAAGAAACAAATAAAATAGATATTACAAAAATGACAGCACTTTGAGATGACCACTGTTGTGATTTAGGGCTATATCAAAATTAATTGAATTGAAATATTTTGAAGAGATGGAGGTCTTAGCTGTTATATGTCTATTTCATCACTCACAATATTATGTTACTCTATTATCTTATCTTATTTTTAGGTTATTATGTTAACGTTATTTTTAGTTTTTATTGTGAAATACTATGTGAGCTACTGTGACAACGCAATTTCCCCTGTGGATCAAAAAAGTCTGTCTAAGTCTAAGTCTATATAGGTCTATACTTAAAATACCAAAGCCAGAGGTGGAACCATTAAGCAAGGAAAGGCAGGTTTATTTCTATAGCACAGTTCATACACACAAGGCAACTCAAAGAAAAGAAAAAAAGAAAAAAAAGGCATTAAAATCATTAATAATCACAGTGCATTGCAGCTAAACATTTTAAATGTGGAAAATGAACCACGCAGAGACAGGTCTGTGTGGTTCATTTTCCACATAAACCTGGATTTGAACATTTTTCAGAAGCCTGTCTTATATTTTCAGGAAGACTGTTCCAGATTTTAAACCATACAGCATATTTAATACCTACCAAAACATTTAAGTGCACGTTCCACTTTGTAAGGGCAGTGTTGGATTACATTCAGAATAGTTTTATTTCGTGCTGCTGCCAAACGGTGATGTATCTGGTCAAACTAACATTTAATGTGGATTGGAAAAGTATTTTATCATGAATAAACAATAATTCCTTTATTTTAAGTTCCTTAGTAATGAGATTATAATAATTTCGCTCCATCCATCCATTTTCTACCCTTTAATCCATTTCTGGGTCAGGGGGGTGGCAGTCAGAGATGCCACCCAAGTCTCATAGCACCAGCCCCTCACTGACCCGCTGCAGGTGGTGAGTCCACAGGAGGACGGCTGCTCTCTGAGTGTGAGCATAGCCTTGATCTTTCAGCTGGGGCTTTGGGCAAAGTGGGGTTAAGTGTCTTGCCCAAGGACACAACGACAGCAGTCATCAGTGGGAGTCGGTGGAGAAGGTGCAGAGGTTGAACCCACGACCTTCTGGGCTTAAGGCCAATGCTCTACCAACTGAGCTACTGTCGCCCCATATAATTTCTCTCCATGGAACACAACCGATGTACATTCTCTCCCATATTTTCATACAAATCCCTGATTCACACCATCAATATGAGTAAGTGATATTTATTTATATAGCGCCTTTTACAGACCAGAGTCATCAATCGCTTTTATCCTCTCACTCCACACACAGATGGGAGCAGGTTATATACTGTATCATGGCCTCTGTGACAGTGTTATAAGTGACTCTACTGTATCACTAGCTTTGTGACTTTTTCTGTTTCTACATGTACTTTAATTCTCATTTTTGTCCATTTATTTAATTTTGATCACTCCAATGGTGATATCTGGTCAAACTAACTTTTCATGTGGATTGGGAAAGCATCATGAATACACAATGAGGCACTTATTGAGATTATCACCATTTCTCTCCATGAAATCCAATGTATGTTTTCCAAAATGTTCATATACAATAAGAGATCCCACAGTGGGGTAATTTCAATGTTGCAGCGCACATACAGGACAGCAGTAAGAACACACATCGTTTACAACATGAATAGCTTCTCTGACAATGCTCAAATCCAGGTTAAAAACAGTTCTGTTTCAAGGGATTTTATTTTCACTCTTTTGAATGTACTGTGATTATAGTTATGTTTTTTTTGCCTTGTGTGATCGCTTCTGTCTTATTCTGTTCAGCACTTTGAATAGACTCTGCTAGACGGATAAACTTACCTTGCCTTTCCTGTATGTTCCTTAACTGCATGCTTCAATATCAACATATCATTATAGCTCTATCTATATATATATGCAGTGTAACGTTATTTATAGTGAAGGATAATAAGTAAGTGACATTCAGTGGACATTCTGAAATTTCCGTATTTAAGATTAAGATTAAGATTAAGATTAAGAGATTCTTTATTTGTCCCACGGTGGGGCAATTTCGGTGTTGCATCACAGGTTATAGAACAGTAGGAAAGAGGAGCACACAGCACACGTTAAGTGAACAATAGCTATACTAATCAAATTAAAAACAATCTAACTCTAGAATCAATAATAAGTATAAAATCTCTATCTTGAAAATGTAATAGATGTAAAAATGTGAAATTGACAAAATAAGAGGCAAGTATAAAGTACTGTGTAATCTAGTGCAAGTCTAGTGTAGTTATATGTTAGCATCTGTACATTATCAGCAGTATGTTTACATCTGTATACATTAGCAGCAGTATGTTTATTTCAAGTTGCTTAGTAATGAGATTATGCCCATTTCTCTGATATATCTTTCTGATTCACCCCACACCACTGTCTTGAGTCTGAGCTTCTGCGGTGACAGCAACACCAGCTACTGTATAAAAGTCAGCAGGAGCCGGGACAAAGCCGCAGTATTGTCTATTGTTGTGCTGCTAATCAAACCTGATTGAACAGCTCTCAGGTATGTGTGTGAAGGCTGAGCGCGGCTGAGCACTGCAGCCCTGGGCACGTCCCCGCCGCACACTGACACTCGTCTGATCGCTGCTATCTTTATCAAAACACACAGCAGCCAAATCATACACGCTGCACACTTTGAACTGCTCCGTGCTCGCTGCACACCTGCGCGGTTGGGAAATGCGTCCAGACGGTTCCATTCGCTCATATTTTCAAGACAGAATTCATAATCATGTTTATTTTGAGATTGTTCTAGTGTTGCCATGTGATCAACTTGGCCCTTTAATGTTCACTCCCTGAAGAAAGCAGTGTAATTATTTTTTCTATTTTGGATTTTCTAAAATGTAGGAGCACTTATAACACAAATAACTTGTTTTTAGGGTTTTAAATATTTCTGGTTAGAGGCCTTTTCCAAATGGTTGTGATGCAGTTTTATGCTAAAAGTGCTTAAAAGTGAGATGCCTGAAAGAGGTAGAATTTGAGTTCCTATATAGCTTGTTTGTTTGTTTGTAACATGCACATAGTTGGGTTTCTTTATCAGGAAGAACGTATTTAATCGAATCCCCATAATACACATTAAACAAAAATTAGCAGTAAATGTAGTGGCTCAAAAAGTGATCTACCAAATGGTTGAGGAAACCACTTAATATGGTTTTATTTATTTAGTTTGTTTATGTATTAGTTTATTTGAATGAATGAATTTGAATTTGTGAGAATTATTTGACTCTGTATTATTCAATATGTTATGTATCTATGAGTGAAAATGGACTTGTACAAAACACATATTTAACTGGGGTCGTCTGGGCACAGGGGGCACATGCCAGACCTATACACAGACATGGGGAGAACATGCAAACTCCACACAGAAAGGCCCTGTCTGGAGATGGAATTGAACCCAAGACCTTCTGGCCGTTAAGAATCTAGTTAGTGTTGTCAAAAGTGTTAATTATCACATATTGATATATTCTAAAACTAGTATCTAAAGTATGCAAATTTAAGCAAGTAATTTTAGACTTTATTTCACTTAGAAATAAAGTGTGGGATGCAATTGATAAAGTTAGGTAACAATAAGAAATGTTTTCCACTGAATTTTCTCATGTTGGATAGAGTCAGTTCAGAATTTGAGTAAATAGTGCATAAAACGTATACAAAAGTTTAAAATAAAAATTAAAGCGTGCATAAAATATATTAACAATCTAATAAATAAATAAAAACACTAAAAACATTTAAATTTAGATTATATGGTGTGATAACTAAAAGTAACTATAACTATACTAACTACATTGTTGCACTTAACGGACTTAATGTCAATAAAATCCAACATCCAACAAAGGCTTAACCGTCGATAAGAAATCAAGACAAAATGTGAAAATTTTTGAGCATTTTTCATATATATCAGAAGAACCTTGTGGCTCTGAAAAATGTATAATTGTATTTATTATTGAGAGTTTATTGTTCAAAAAGAGCATTTATAAATAATCAATGCGGTTTTTGAGCTTTAGATGTAGTATTGTGACATCACTTATCACTAATCTGGCCCAGTCATTGGAAGCAGTTCCTGATACTTGAATACATATTTATAACTTTCATATTTTCAGTGTCTTTCCACTACAGCCTCTGAATGAATGTGAGAATGAGTAATCTTGCACTGGACACATTCAGTGTTTTTCCATTTCCTTTCCACAGCAGCTCTCACATATTTAATCTATTGTTCTGTTGATACAATGAACCAGAAGCTTTTGAATCTCATTAAGTTTTCCATATACCCATTATTTTGTTTTATTTTTTTAATGCAGATCAACATAATTTTACCACTGTCAAACACTTATCAACTTTGAAAAGATGCTGGAGTGAACCTCTGGCATTTTGAAGCATTATGTTGTTTTTGTGACAATAACCAAATCCCCAGCATTTGAAATTGTGTCGTCCCATCTCAAACCTGCCGATAAGTATCAACAACCATTTTCTTCCGGTTTAAAGAAGAGATATAATGCTTTATTTTTGGTGATAAAAAATATGTTCTTACTATTTACGTGGGGTTAGGGTTGTCTTGATATAATGAAAATAAATGGTGAAACAGGTATGAAGGCTAAAACATGCTTCCACCTGTAACGCCCTATGTTGTTGTCAAATTAAAAATATGACCTTTCCATGTCCCAGCTGGTCTGGGAACGCCTAAGGAGGAAGTGTGTGTGTGAACAAGGGAGTCTGGGCATCCCTGCTTTGACTGCTGCCACCGCCACCTGGCAACGGATAAAGCGGAAGAACATGGAGCGAATGGAAAAGAAAAACCCATGTAATTGTAAAGAACATAATTTTGCCTGAAAATGTACCAAAATGAGTTTTAAAAAGGCAGAAAACTGCTCCAAGCGTGGTGTGATAGTGATACAATGACACTATTATTACAGGATGTTTGTGCTTGATTTTAGGTCTAGAAACAACTTTAGGTCAATGACTTATGAAAGAACATTTATTTATTTATTTGAGCATCTGTTAAAACACATGCAAGGCATTCACAAGGAGTACACTCAGAACCTGACTCTCAAAATGAGAAGTAGGATAGGAAGTAGTAGTAATTTTGTCTATTTTTTTTTCTTTTAGGGAAACATTTCGTAACGAAAGTGCCTTGAATGCTGCAGACATTATGTTGAACGCAAAAAAAAATTCAAAGAATATTCAATGGAAACAGAGAAAGAAAAGGAAAAGCACCAAAGGAGTTCAGAGAAAACAGTCTAAATGCCTTATCATTAAAGAAATGTTAAGTTTTGTGTGAATGATAAAAATACTTGTTTTGTCTTTTGTTTGTCCTTTTTGTTTTTGTCCGTGCTTAATCAGTTGTCATTGTTCTTAAATAAACAAAAAAAAATACATGGATTTCGCTTTGTATGTCTCAAATTCTACCCCTATTTTATTATTTGCCATTTGCAGTAAAACCACATTGGAATACATCTGCGAAAGGTCCCAGAGTGCGGTAGACAACAAATTAACTTAACTGTTGTACGGTGATTTTGCTTCACATGTCATATACTGGAAATGTCTCATATTCTAATGCTCTCTCTCTGTAGGTGCCTGAACCATGGGCAGTAAGAGCGTGGCAGCCCCGATCCCCCTCCACCCCGCCGCCTTCCCTCTGGGCGGGTACTCCCTCCTGCACAGCTCCACAGGCCTCCAGCTCCCGGCAGAACACCTCCACTACAGCTTCAGCGCGCTCCATGCGGTCCACCTGCAGCACTGGGCCCTGTACCCGCCCGTGCCCCTGTCCCGCCGGGCCCTGGCCAAACTCCCAGGGCATTTCTCCTCCATGGCGTCCTTCCCGATCTTCCCCCAGCTGTTCCGACCCAAACTCTGCTCCAAGTCTAAGCCGCGTTTCGACTTCGCTAACCTAGCCGCCGCAGCTACACAAGAGGACGGTATGAAGGCGGAGGATCTGAGTGTCTCGAGCGTCGCGTCGCCGCCTCAACGCCCGTGTTATCTCTTGGACAAAGCTGCCCCTCCCGCTGAGAGGAGGTCCAACCGAGGCCGAATGCCGACCAAAACCAAGAAGGAGTTTGTGTGTAAATTCTGCGGACGCCATTTCACCAAATCGTACAATCTGCTGATCCACGAGCGCACGCACACGGACGAGAGGCCCTACACCTGCGACATCTGCCACAAGGCCTTCAGGAGACAGGACCACCTCAGGGACCACCGGTTTGTGCGCCTTTTCTCTCAATTCAATTCAATGCATTTGTGTTTTGTCCAAATTCAAAGGAGTTGCTATCTCGGAGGACTGTACAAAGCTGTCGATTTGCCAACACAGATCAGAGAATTAAACAGTTAATGGGAATTTTTTAATGCAATCCCAAAAAACACTTGGTCCATAAGGGTGGGATGACCAATATCCATAAATATCAGATGTCCATAAATGTCGTTGAATGTCCTGGATCATCACCACTCTCACACAAGCAAACACACAGATGCGTACTTACTTGAAGAAGATAGATGACTTTTCAAATTTGTAAAGGTGATGTTGGCAACTTCCATAGTATTTTTTTTCATAATAATGCATATTTTTTGACCATATGACCCTATAGTAGCACATAGAGTAAAGTATTTTTCAGAAGCAACATCTACTGTCTCGCTCATTTCTGGGATAACTACCGCTGGAAACGTTTGCTGGAGGAAAACTGTGTGGCCGAATGCATGTGTCTTCGCCTGTGTATCAAGGATTTAAATGTGTTTTGTCCAATCACAAAGCAGTGCTTTGTGATTGGTCTAGGCAGTGCTAAGCAGTGCTCGCTTAGGAAAAAAATCTCTCTCTCTGCTTTTCAGAAAGTAACTGATATTCTCTATTTTAAGATAGACAGATGTTCTTAGAATGCAAGCACAAGTTAGACCCGCCCCCACAGCTTCCTGATTGAATGGAATTCATTAAAATCCTTGATTGACAGTTATCTAGTTAACTCACCATTGATCTGGCTGTTCTCCTCTTGCTAATTTTAATGGCAGTGGTTATCCCAGCTGGTTATCCCAGCTGGTTATCCCAGCTGGTTATCCCAGCTGGTTATCCCAGCTGGTTATCCCAGCTGGTTAATCCAGCGATTCTGTCCATTTTTCCAATGTTAATGAGATACAATAGCATGTTACATACATACATAATTTCAAAGGTAATCTTTATTGAAAAAAAATAACCAAATAATTTGCTCCATTTTAAACATCCGATCTAAAATACAATATTTAATCATACTTGAGTTTGGTTTCAGTCCAATCATTTCATCATACAACATACATAAATACATTGGTGTAACAGTAAAGATAAAAACAGCTCTGGCTCCTTATAAAAAATGCATTGGATTTCCTATTTAAAATTTTTTTGGTACTCATGACTTTACCGGCGAGGGAAAAAAAGAATGTGAACCTCTGCTTTAACACATGCCCTTAACTGAGCTTTCATGCCACAAATGTAATAGGTAGATGATAGAATTTTCCACAAATTGATTGTAATCCGCAAACATAATATTGAATAATGACGGCCTGTGGTGTTGCAGGTACATCCACTCCAAAGAGAAGCCCTTCAAGTGTCTGGAGTGTGGAAAAGGCTTCTGTCAGTCACGGACTCTGGCTGTGCACAAGACGCTGCACCTGCAGGTCAAAGATCTGCGGCCACCCAAGGTCAAATGAACCCAGAGAGACCAGGGACAGACCAGCAGGAGACCAGAGAGAGACACCAGAGAGATACCAGAGAGACTAGAGAGAGACCAGAGAGAGACCAGAGAGAGACCAGAGAGAGACACGAGAGAGACTAGAGAGAGACACGAGAGAGACCAGAGAGAGACCAAAGAGAGACCAGAGAGAGACCAGAAAGAGACCAGAGAGAGACCAGAGAGAGACCAGAGAGAGACCAGAGAGACCAGAGAGAGACCAGAGAGACCAGAGAGAGGCCAGAGAGAGACCAAAGAGAGACCAAAGAGAGGCCAGAGAGAGACCAGAGTGAGACCAGAGAGAGACCAGAGAGAGACCAGAGAAAGACCAGATAGAGACACGAGAGAGACCAGAGAGAGACCAAAGAGAGACCAGAGAGAGACCAGAAAGAGACCAGAGAGAGACCAGAGAGAGACCAGAGAGAGACCAGAGAGAGACCAGAGAGAGACCAGAGAGAGACCAGAGAGACCAGAGAGAGACCAGAGAGACCAGAGAGAGGCCAGAGAGAGACCAAAGAGAGACCAAAGAGACGCCAGAGAGAGACCAGAGTGAGACCAGAGAGAGACCAGAGAGAGACCAGAGAAAGACCAGATAGAGACCAGAGAGAGACCAGAGAGAGACCAGAGAGACCAGAGAGAGACCAGAGAGACCAGAGAGAGGCCAGAGAGAGACCAGAGAGACAGAAAGAGAACAGAGGGGAACCTAGAGACCCAGAGAATCTGCTGGCATCAGAGAGACATTTAAAACTTTACAGAACTGTAAAATAAACTGTAAATATTTTTATGTAACATTTCACATTGTTATTTTCTCATTCTATTTTTTCGGATCAATATATCAAATGTAACTTCTGTTTTTGCACTTTGACTCGATTGTAGATTTATTTTTGTCACTGGAATTGTTTGTAATAAACATTTTGACTGAGAATACTGTGTGGTGTTTACTGTGCAGCAGCATCCAGCCTCCAGGCCTCACAGGACAGACACAGGACAGACACAGGACAGACACAGGACAGACACAGGACAGACACGGGACAGACAGAGGACAGACAGAGGACAGACACAGGACAGACACAGGACAGACAGAGGACAGACACAGGACAGACACAGGGACAGACACGGGACAGACACAGGACAGACACAGGACAGACACAGGACAGACACGGGACAGACACGGGACAGACAGAGGACAGACACAGGACAGACACAGGACAGACACAGGGACAGACACGGGACAGACACATGACAGACACAGGACAGACACGGGACAGACACGGGACAGACAGAGGACAGACAGAGGACAGACACAGGACAGACACAGGACAGACACGGGACAGACACGGGACAGACAGAGGACAGACAGAGGACAGACACAGGACAGACACAGGACAGACAGAGGACAGACACAGGACAGACACAGGACAGACAGAGGACAGACACAGGACAGACACAGGACAGACAGAGGACAGACACGGGACAGACACGGGACAGACACGGGACAGACACAGGACAGACACAGGACAGACACGGGACAGACACGGGACAGGCACAGGACAGACACAGGACAGACACAGGGACAGTGTGTATTCATTCACACTCACTGCTGTAGATACAAACAGCTGGTGGTGGAGGAGCAATCACAATAAAAATACATTCTGTTAATAGTTGAAGTGGTCCCGCTCTCAGTCGAGATGCTTCATCTCAAAGAGCTTTCCATAAATAAATTGAAAATGTTGGCCCTAAAGGTTCTTTTATTGTGTATTTGTTTTTTTGTGTATATATTTTGTGATCAAAAGTCTCAATGCAGTAGCGATGCAGTATAGTGCAGCCGGGCTGAGGAACAGGAAGAGGACGCAGAGTGTTCCAGGGAAAGACAGCGGAGGGAAGACATCAGTCTGTCAGCATGTCCCAGAGTCAGGGACAGGAGCACAGCGTTAGAATGAGTGTGCTACGTGTCAGCTCCACAGCCGAGCATGGACCCACAGACAGCTGTCCCAGAGTGTGGCCTCAGAGCAGGAGCTGAAGCAGGCCTCAGGGACCCCACTAAGGGCATAACAGGGGTACGGCACGTCAGTGACCACCACTGACACCTTTATGGTTTCCCCTCTGCAGAGGTGAATCTGCGGCCATCTCCTGTCTGCTACTGCAGGCCACAGCAGTGGCCAGTCCTGACCACAGCCTTGAACTCCTGTCCCATCAGGAGTTTCTCTTTACCACAAAGTACAAATCAAATATAACTAGCATTCTGTCACAACCACATGGCAAAGATACATCAACATCCAAGGAACAAAGAGGAAATGAGCCAGAACTATCAGGATGACTGCAATAACAATCAGGATGACTGCATTAAGACTGTACATGAGTAAAGCTAGAGGCCGGAGCTATTATTACAGTGTTGTAATAAGTGTCTCCATATGAAGTGATCACAGCTCGTGGGCAGAAAGACCTGAGCCTTGTGTGTGACCACTGTGGAAAAACACTGTCATGTGCTTTCTGTAAATGTTTCCAGACAAATAATCGCACACAACAAAGCAGTGAGCATGTTCTGAGGAGTTTCCTGCTGCTGCTGTTTGCTCAGTGTGGCCTGAAGAGCTTACTCTACCTGACAAATGAGAAACTATTGGGCCATTAGCGCAGAGTCTTTGCTTTGACCTGCACTGAAGCATCCTTACAGGAGGAGACCCTCTGCTGTGACACAGAATGAGACCAGTGGCGCCCCCTGGAGGCAGCCCTGTGACGTGGACCAGGGTTCAACAAGAGGAGAAATGCCTCTGCAAACTCCTGCGTTGCTTTGTTTTCTCTGAAAACGCCACTGACAGTGGAGATAGGCTTTCACCCTGAGATGCTTCACAATGTCTTCCCTGTTTGCCCTGCTCCTCACAGTGAGTGGGGCCGACAGGGAGCTGTGTAGAACAGGGAGAGGGTGGGTGGTGGACACTGAGGCGCACAATCAAGCAGGAAAAGCATCTCCAGAATCCTCTGCCCTCTGCCAAAGTTAACATACACTCAGGGATTTAGTATCAAAGTTTCCAATATTTGGCTCCACAAACATTCTAGTCACTGTGAAAACACATGCCTGGGAGATCCCCACTGACTATTCAAATAAACCAGGTTTAATTATGAACGTTTGGGAAGTATGACATGCTGTTTACAAACTTTGATCCATCTTACCAATCATTTTAGATTTACTGCTGTTCCATAGAACCTGGTGCTCATAACAAGAGGAGTGATGCTGCAGCTTGGACCCCTCATGAGCCACTGCTGAGCACCAGAGCTCCTGCTTCTGCACAAGTGGAGTTCTGCAACCTCTGCGTTTTCACAGTGGCTTCAGGTTTCTACTCTCCGGGAAGCAGAGCAGAGAAGGAGCTGCAGGAGCTCACATTCTGAATACTGATGAAAATGTGATAATCCAGCAGAGTCTGGGGACTTCTGCAGGTCAGGCATCTTTTGTCTTTATGTGGGGGTTCAAATGATTGTAGGGATCAATATTAAGTCAATATTGAAACTATTTTCTTTATCCACACTTGAGAATATTTGTGTAACAAAGTATGTTCTCGAAAACAGAATATGTGCGATGGGCTCCAGTAAAACAACAGTATGTGCTTCTGCCCACTGCTCACATCTACAAACTGGTTTAGATGGAAGGCTTGAACTTTGTCAGTCACTATTGTGTAAAGGTTTAGCCTGTGGTTGTTCTCAAACTGATTCAATTATTTTCCATATCATTCATGGACATCAAAATGTGCATACATACACCATGGTCATTAACGTCTACTGTCGCCTCCAGCGGACTGACAAGCGCTCTGACCAGTCGTTCATGCGTACACAAGACTCATCATCCCATCACGTCTCCCATCACAGCACTAACCAAACCCACTCTTTTTTAGCTTCAGAGCTCTTCCAGTTTAAATGTAAAAACAAGAAAAAGAAACTTAAAATCAACTCTGAATGTGAGGAGCCAGTGAAGTGAGGCCAGTACAGGGGTAATGTGCTCTCTGCATCCCTGTGTGCAAGGCAGTTAACTGAGCTTAAGTTCAAACCACAGTACAGAAATCTAAACTTGAAGAAATTAAAAAAGTGAAAAGAACTGCTATTGACTCAAATAATCAAATGCATAATAATTGTGAATGCCAGAAAAGAGACTTTCCGTACAGTGTTGGTTATGAACAAGTACTAATATTTCTCTTTATGGAATTTTCCTTCTTGGACAGATCCACATTTGTCATTTAAGCACAAACAAGACTAATGCAAAGACATGTGAGAGCACGGGCCTCACCTTTTCTTCTGTGTCCAAAGAGCCGCAGCCAGGGCTCTTTCATGTCCGCACGGTAAACACGGAGCTCCATCAATAACAGAAATGTATGTTAATGATTTTACACCTGAAGTTAAAAGGACCAAAGCCTGAAACTAAAGCCCAAAGAACAAATAAGCGAAAGTTTATCCCACTTTCAAAGCGAGGCAATGTTTGTTTATTTAACACTTCCACAATAGATCTGAAGTTTCAGGTTTGTCAAAGAACAATACCGCTGCCACAATCGCTGAGTTTGAAGTACAGGTGGAAAATGCCACATCTGATGGGATTTTTATAGCATTTCGGATCATTCTGTTTTGGCTTAACTTGTTCAAGCTGTTTGAAAACACACTTATATATATATATTTTTTAACAAATAGAGCATTTTCTATTTATGATTTCAAATGTAACCAAAACAACTTCTGAACTTACTATAAGATTATTTCAATGGCCTCAAAGCGCACATTACAAGATTTAAGATTCAAGAATGTATTTGCCATTTGCAGTAAAACCACTTTGGAAGAACTGTGCAAGGCTACCCCAGAGTGCACCATAGTACACACCAGAGCTCCTGCCACGGCACCATTTATTTTACCGAAGAAAATAAGAGCATTCAGGTTACACACATCAAACAGAATGTATTATTAAAAAATTTTAGATAATAGTATTTTTTTAAATGTTTGATATTTTGTAATTTTAATATTGTGTGGGATGTTTTTTTAAAATATTGTAAGACGTTGGGTGTCTTGCAAGGCGCCATGAAATAAAAGTCTTCTATCCAGGATCAAACCATAGACCGTACATCAGGTGTCTTCCTCTTTTTAGGAATGTGTGTTGTTTACATACAGAGATCTGAATTTTCTATGTCATTGCTTGAAATAAAAAATATTAAATGAACGAGGGTCCTCTCTGTTCACTTTGATATGAAAACTGGGGATAGAAGTAATAATACTACATAAAACTTATCAAGCACTTTTTTGAACACTCAAAGACGCTTTAAAACATAATATCAAACATCGAGGAACAAAATAAAGAGTTGTGGGAGTGAAAGAAGGAAAAGGTTTTGAGCGCAAATACAAATATAGTAGATATTAGTATATATGTTATTGTATTCCAGCTTTAGTTGAATGAACGAGGAAACATTTAATTTCTCACAGATGAAGGAAGTGTCTGTGGAAATACACTAAACAAGGAATTTGGGTCAAACCACATTCTTTTCAGGAACAGTCTTCCTGAAAATGACTAGGCTTTTTCTCTGACAGTTTTCAAATCCAGGTTGAAAACAGTTTTGTTTAGCTGTGCATACAACTGAAGGATCGTATCGTCACTCTTTTGAATGTACTTTGATTATTTGATATTTGTAATGCCTTCTGTATTGCTTCTATCTTGTCTTGTTAAGCACTAAGAGTTGCCTTGTGTGTGAACAGTGCTACACAAATAAACACGTCTCTTTCTTACAACCAAAAGCCATCATGGGAGAAAGAGGATGTGAATATGGAAGACATTTATATCCTATGATTTATAGGTTTAATTAGTAATAAAGTAGGTATTTTCTCTTTGACAATAAGGAATTTGTTGTCTGAAAGAATGCTTACGCACAATGAGTTGCCAATTTTCAAACAATGCCTTTCTGTCCAAGAGACGCTTTTGGAAAACACCTTTCGCTTGTCTGTTTTGAGCACATGTGCCAGTGCGGGGCAGGAATACGGCTTTCGTCACACGTTCAGCGATGGAGGCCGCAGATAAGAACCTTAATGAAGCGTCTATGTCGAAAGATATTTGTAGATACCACACGAGTGCAGTGCTAACTAGAGCCCGACTATTTCCAATGTGAAATTCTCTCATAGTTCATTCGAGTGATATTGCCACAACATTTCAACTCAACTTAATTTGGTATAGATTAAGAGATCCTTTATTGGTCCCACAGTGGGGAAATGTCAGTGTTGCATCACAAGTTACAGAGCAGTAGGAATGTATACATTATCTTTCTTGAACATAATAATATTAACAAACAATTTACATTTGGCAAAAAAAGAGGCAAGTATAAAGTATTGTTAGCGTGCAGTTATATGTTAGCATCTGTACATTAGCCGCAGTATGTTAGCATCTGTACATTAGCAGCAGTATGTTAGCATCTGTACATTAGCAGCAGTTTGTTAGCATCTGTACATTAGCAGCAGTATGTTAGCATCTGTACATTAGCTGCAGTATGTTAGCATCTGTACATTAGCCGCAGTATGTTAGCATCTGTACATTAGCATCAGTATGTTAGCATCTGTACATTAGCCGCAGTATGTTAGCATCTGTACATTAGCCGCAGTATGTTAGCATCTGTACATTAGCCGCAGTATGTTAGCATCTGTACATTAGCCGCAGTATGTTAGCATCTGTACATTAGCAGCAGTATGTTAGCATCTGTACATGTTAGCAGCAGTATGTTAGCATCTGTACATTAGCAGCAGTATGTTAGCATCTGTACATTAGCCGCAGTATGTTAGCATCTGTACATTAGCAGCAGTATGTTAGCATCTGTACATTAGCCGCAGTATGTTAGCATCTGTACATTAGCCGCAGTATGTTAGCATCTGTACATTAGCCGCAGTATGTTAGCATCTGTACATTAGCCGCAGTATGTTAGCATCTGTACATTAGCCGCAGTATGTTAGCATCTGTACATTAGCCGCAGTATGTTAGCATCTGTACATTAGCCGCAGTATGTTAGCATCTGTACATTAGCAGCAGTATGTTAGCATCTGTACATTAGCAGCAGTATGTTAGCATCTGTACATTAGCCGCAGTATGTTAGCATCTGTACATTAGCCGCAGTATGTTAGCATCTGTACATTAGCCGCAGTATGTTAGCATCTGTACATTAGCCGCAGTATGTTAGCATCTGTACATTAGCAGCAGTATGTTAGCATCTGTACACATGTTAGCAGCAGTATGTTAGCATCTGTACATTAGCAGCAGTATGTTAGCATCTGTACATTAGCCGCAGTATGTTAGCATCTGTACATTAGCAGCAGTATGTTAGCATCTGTACATTAGCCGCAGTATGTTAGCATCTGTACATTAGCCGCAGTATGTTAGCATCTGTACATTAGCCGCAGTATGTTAGCATCTGTACATTAGCCGCAGTATGTTAGCATCTGTACATTAGCAGCAGTATGTTAGCATCTGTACATTAGCAGCAGTATGTTAGCATCTGTACATTAGCCGCAGTATGTTAGCATCTGTACATTAGCCGCAGTATGTTAGCATCTGTACATTAGCAGCAGTATGTTAGCATCTGTACATTAGCTGCAGTATGTTAGCATCTGTACATTAGCCGCAGTATGTTAGCATCTGTACATTAGCTGCAGTATGTTAGCATCTGTACATTAGCCGCAGTATGTTAGCATCTGTACATTAGCCGCAGTATGTTAGCATCTGTACATTAGCTGCAGTATGTTAGCATCTGTACATTAGCTGCAGTATGTTAGCATCTGTACATTAGCTGCAGTATGTTAGCATCTGTACATCAGCAGCAGTTTGTTAGCATCTGTACATTAGCAGCAGTATGTTAGCATCTGTACATTAGCCGCAGTATGTTAGCATCTGTACATTAGCCGCAGTATGTTAGCATCTGTACATTAGCAGTAGTATGTTAGCATCTGTACATTAGCAGTAGTATGTTAGCATCTGTACATTAGCAGTAGTATGTTAGCATCTGTACATTAGCCGCAGTATGTTAGCATCTGTACATTAGCTGCAGTATGTTAGCATCTGTACATTAGCCGCAGTATGTTAGCATCTGTACATTAGCTGCAGTATGTTAGCATCTGTACATTAGCCGCAGTATGTTAGCATCTGTACATCAGCAGCATAAGCCCTAAGTCACAACATAGCTATCTTGCAAGACCATTGAATTAATTGGACCATAAAGGACAGATGACCATTGTCCATACATTTTGATAAATGTCCATAGATGTTGGTGATGATCCAGGACACTCAATATTCATCAACCAAAAACAGTTTTCTTGGAGGGTTTTACAAAGTTATTGATTCGCCGGCAACAGATCAGAGAACCAGTTTGAACACAGGAAATAGGCAATGA